CCCACGAAGGGCCGAGCCTCCTCATCGAACAAGAGCCGGGGAAGAAAATGCGAGATAGGCCTCGGTGACCTTCACCCAACCCGCATAAGTGGATAGGGTCATCTCAACCTTCTTGTTCGATCCTGACCTCTAGCCGAGCCCATAGAATCCCCATTAAGGGGAATGCATGTTGGAAGGCGGGTTAAGGAACAGCGGAATGCCACGAGGGGACTGCCGACCACATCACGAGCAATGGGACCGGATTCCGTTCGAACACCCCGTTAGCGAAGCTCATCAAGCGCGTCCTCGAGCCATCGAGGCAAATAGCGTCGCCTCAACCCCTCGGTTGCGAAAACCCGTGGGCCCAGGCGACGATCCCTGGCACAAAAACAAGCCGACCATTGACCGAATCCCACCCTGCAGCGGCGGGGGCTCGAGGAAGGTTGGACTTGTAAAGGAGACCGAGCGCCGCGGTGCATGAAACAATAGCTAAAAACCTAAGGAAGAAGTGCGATGCGAATACAAGAGTAGTTTCGCTATCCTCTCTTTGGTCTCCGGTGACATTTGACCCCGGCAACAACGCAAAGAGTCGGATCTCACTCGAGGGGGTGATAAAGGTATAAATACACCCTTTTTCGAAAGCGACATTTGCATCGGACCTATTCCTCACGTTAAGGTTAGTGGCAAGGTTTGTGGGAGCGAATAACCGAGCATGCACAGTCAGAATACGCAAAAACCCATGCCCCAAGCGGCTACGGTAACTTTGCTCACCAGCATAATCAAAATCTCCCTCTTACACACCTCGGGCCCTACGGTCTTAATGAGCGGAAGGGTCCGGATTGCATGAGCCCCTTTTTGAATATAAAGGGGAAGAAAGCAAGTTCAATCGAACAAAAGCGAAATTACGAATTTGCCTTGAAACAAAATTACGAATCTATCTTTAAGATACAAAAGTGCCGACACTTGTCCACAGATTAAAGATAATGTCCATCAAACCCATTCGACTAACTACCCCCTCCAGGGGAGAACCATGTCTTCAATTTTGCTCGCCAAGGTTTCCATAGCAGGAATCACCGCCGCTTCTATCTCATCCAGCTCGGAGGCCCGTAGCTAAGGCGAAGCAGAGGCTCATCGCCTCCAAGTCGATGCTTTCATCATAATGCGAAATTTGGCGATGGCAAAGGCTTGGTGATCCCTGAGCGAAAACTTCCGCCTGCTTTGCACCTCGCCGCAACACACGCAGGTCGCCGCAGATTCACGCCAAGGGCAACCTTGGGGACATCGGCTCGTCGCTCTCCGCTCGAAGAAGACTCCTCGCCTTAGCAAGATCCATGGCGATCCGGCAATGGCGCCCTCGGCCTCCGGCTTACGGGCTTTTTGCGGTTCCAAGCTTAGCACGAGGAACTGATCCTCTCACGCACCTCGTCCACGCTCTCGGACGGCACTGGTCGCACTCCGGCGGAGCCTCTCCGTGATCTGGCTTAACCCATCTTGCTCCTTGCGGCCGGCGACCACCTCGGCGTCGGTTTAGCCCATCGCTCCGGGGCCGCGGACCTTTCCTCGGCTCTAGCTTCGAGATCCCACTTCTTCTCGGCCTCGGCCGGGAGGTCGATGATCCCGGCTGGCGGGTCTCCGCATCCTGTTGAGTAGCTCATCCCACTCCTTCCGCACTCTAAGCGGCCTCCTCCTCATCCCCGCGCCCTCTCCGATAGTTCATCAAAAGACTTCTCGGCGTCCTCCACGTCCCGGCGGGCCTCGGCCTCCCGCCGTCGAAGATTGTCAGCCTCCACGGCAAGGGAGTCAACTCGGCCACCCTCTGTCAGAGCTGGGCGGTCATATCCTATGCAGCCATGCCTCATCGACGAGGTGGTCCCAGTCCTCCTTATGTTCACAAAGGAATCGAGATTTCTCCATTGCGAGCAATAAGAGACTGAAAAAAGGACGGTGGTCCGAACACAAAAATAGATGAAGAAAGGGGAGGGCGAAAGGCAAGACTAAGTGAATACCCAACCCGGTGGGAGCGATGACGTCTCGTAGGGTGCCCCAAGCCTAGTTCAAAGCTTTCAGGCGTGGCCGTGATCCCTCGTTGAGACTCTCCCGCTCCATGCCCTCGGCGGCATCGTCGAGGGTGAAGAGTTTCGACGATAGGTCCTGCAGACTCCCCCACCGGAGCAAGGGCTCAACCCGCGTGGGCGGGTGGCTGCCCCCGGTGTCAGGACCAAGGACAACTCCCTGTCGGTCTCCACGGCAACCACCGCGGTGTTCGAGGATCCCTCAGACACGACCCCCTTCGTCCTGCCCACGACGGGCGTCGTCTCTTGGGCCGCCCGCAAAGCACAGGGGGGTGACGCCTCAGGCGCCGCCACGCCGCCACAGGCTGCGACCCATCGATCATAGCCCCCATCACCTCCACCTCCGTCGGCGGGACCTCGTCCGGCTCGCCACGCCCGTCGTGGGTGGCGCTGCGAATCGCGACCGGTAGCTCCGCCCGCTCGGCGTCGATGGTGGAATCACTTCCGTCGCCATTTGCTCGTCAACCTCCGAGGGCCCCTCGGCCTTGCTGACCGCTGACCCACCGAGGCACGGGCACCACCATGGCGGCGCCCTAAGCGACCAACGAGGGGCGATGCGGCCCGCTCTCGTCTAAAGCGGGGCGCGATGTCGGCGACGGCCCTCGCCATGCACTGCGGCGGCGCTCTTCTTGGGCGCCCGGCACTAAAGAAGTGCCCTGTCGGCCCGTCTCCCAGCGCTGCAGAAGAAACAAAAGGCGTGAGTCACGATGGCGACGAGGCAAAAAGCAGAGAGAAAAAGAGAAAGCAGAGAAGGCTGGTGACTTACGTTGGCGTTTTTGGGTGGTGGAGGCGTTTGGCGAGACGAACCCGACCTCTGCTCCGCCTCGTCGGGGCGGGACGTTTGAGCCTGCCCCTACTCACGGGCAGAGGGACCCACCTCCCCTTGCGTCAAGGGCGCGTGGTGAACCGCCCCCCTCACCGACACATCGAGCGCGCGGCGACAGATTCGCCGCCCCGATAGCTCTTGAGGTGCGGCAATGGGGCCACCCCAGTAGCCGGCACCTCGGCGTGATGGCGAGACCGGCCGCTCCTCTCATCTCCTAGGGCAGGTAAGCCGGTTCGGTCCGTCTCCATGACCCACGAAGGTGCTTTCCTGCGTGGAGCTGGGAAAGGACCTGCGACGACAGTATATACACTGCCGGTGCATCCTCGCTCACCGGGTTGTCCCACTCAGTGTTGGCTACTACCTCGTCATCCTCATCGTCGTCGTCATCGTCACTGTCTGTCTCCTCTCCTCGCTCCCGTGCCCGCAACTTCTGTTGCTTCTGTCTCCTCTCGTCCTCCTTGGTCTTGTTCTGCCACTCGGTCGCGGTGCGATTCGCCGCCACCATGAATGGGTCCTTCAGCAGCGGAGCCGGGCGGTCCATAAAGACGAGTCTTTTCGACTGGTCCCCCTATCTCAATATCAGCATCAAGGTATCGGGAGTTCAATTAAAAAGGAGGCACGAGGAAAGAAAACTTGCGAATGCAATGCACCCCCGCTCCGGCCGCATTGGGGGTGTCCCGGCACTGGATACACGAAGTCAAGGATAGCACCGGTGTTGTCCCACGGGGGCTCCATCGCCTCCTTGATGCGCTGCGCCACTCCAGAGGGGGGAGCGCTCCATCGGCGAGCGCTGCCCATCGAGTGATGCTCCGGGCGCCATCAGGTGCAGGGGAAGCACGCGACTCATCAGCGGCACCACCCTCCACGTATGACAGGCGCCGATGATCCCCGACCCCTTCACGCCCCTCTCCTTTAGAATTTGGATGGCGGCGAGATGGTCTTGGATTTTCTTCTTGTCTTTATCCGGGACCCCCCACTTCCTCCACGATTCCAGGACCTCTTCAATGAGGCGCCCGGTGAACGCTGGCAAGGGGGCGGCTGCGTCGTCCTTGACGTAGAACCAATGCGAATGCCACCCCTTGTTGGAGGTCGACAGACGCATCGGTGGGTATTCGTTGACCCGGTTGTTACGGAGCTGAATGCCGATGCAACCCATCGGCACGCTCAGCTCCTGCCTCTTCTCCCGCTTCATCCGGTGGGTGATGGCGAAGAAATACCGCCATAGGAAAAAGTGGGGACTGATCCCCGGAACCCCTCACACAGGGCGACGAACGTCGCAATGTGTTGGACTCCATCGGGAGTAAGGTGCTGCAGCTCCACCTTGTAGTAATGCAACAACCCTCGAAGCGAACTTGTGGGCGGGGGTGGTGAATCCCCTCATGGAAGCGGCGAAGGACACAATGTAGCCGTCCGGGACGGCAATGGCGGCGTCCTCATCGCCGGGCAGCCGCCACTCCTCGACAATGGTTGAGTGTAGAAGACGCGATGGACGCAGGCGCTGCAGGTAATATCGAGATCTACCCCACGGCTCCATTGAATGATTGGGGTGGGTGAATGCGAACTTGACGACGATCGGGATGCGAGCGAAGAACTAAGCGATTGGCGGCGGATGTTGTAGATGCAAAAGCGAGGAGGCAAAGTATGGAACCACGGGGCGAACCCTTTGGTTTTATAAGGCGACGGATATGAGGAAGGCAACCGTTCGCCTAGATCTCCATGCTCGCCACGATACACCACCATGTCACGTCGTGGGATATCGCCGCAATCCCTATCCTTTCCCCTTCGAGAGACACACGGACGTTTACGCCTTCCGGAGAACCGGGACTCTTTA